GTGAATTAAAAATTGATATGAAGTGATTTGTCTGATTTAAATGCAAATAAATTTTAGTATAAACTTTTTTTTCTGTTCTCTTAAATAATGTGTATCTAATAATAATATTTTATATACCATTCATGTTTTATTTTACAAAATATCTTTAACAACTTAACTCACAAATTTTGATGAACTTTAACGTCAAAGTTAATATTGTTTTATCAATAGTTATTTATTTTTTAATTCATACAACTAATTAAATTAATACATACTGGAATTTCTTCAATCATTGCTCGATTATAATTTTATGAAGTTTTATTCAGACAAATTTTAAGTTATGTTGAATCTAGTAATTAACTACATATTTTAAAAATATGTAATAAAATAATTGTATTATTTATTATTAAAACGTAAAAGTATTACATTTTTACTTAATGACTAATAAGTAATGTTAATGATATGAAAAAGCCATTAATAAAAAAACAAAAAAAAAAAAACCACTAATACATTCTATACATTACTTTACTAAGCATCTAAAATATTGTACGTGACAAATTGTGTTTAAATTTAAAACCAAATAATTAAATTTAAAGTACTTAATTTTAGTGCAATTAATGATAAATATATAATCATATACTAATACTTTATTAAACTTACCTTATATATATTTTCACACATTTAAAAAAATATTATCGATTTTTATACATTTTAATTTTGTTAATTTCTTTGTTAACTTACTGAGTATCCATAAAACAAAGATATGTTATATAAGTAGGTATCATAAGTTTAAAAGTTAAAACTTAGAATCACTAGCCAATATTCCAGAAGCGCAAAACAATATAGACTGTAATATGTACTTCGATACTTTTTAAGTCCGAGTGGAGCGATGAATGTATTGATTTTACAACGTGGATGTTTTTTTATACGAATAATGTACACAACAACAATCTTTAGTTTTTAGGTTTAAGGATGGTTGTGGATAGTAATTGGTTTTGTTTTGTACTTTGGAGAAGTCAAAATTAAAAATATTTTTGAAAACGTTTACTATGGTAAATATTCAACAGTACCTATATAACAATTTTTTTCAACAACTTTTTTTCGTTTTTTGTTATAATTCGAAAATGAATAACTGTAGTCTGTAGATATTCACATTTTCACTAAATGTTTATACCATCATTTTCAATGTATGATCATTGATAAAATTTTCAATTATTTTCATTTATTTTTTTCTGTCAATTTCAATAAAAAAGTATTCACTGGGTAAACATTTTTGAAAATTTAATATAAGATCACGCAAAAATGTTTCTTGTATTTGTATAAAAATACATTGGCATTTTTTTTACATGTGTATTTGATGTTTAAATACTTAGGAATTTCTTCAAAATCATGAACTATTCAAACTACAAGTATTTTGTAGTTAAATTTTATAAAATTTTCAATTTTTAAAGCTTAGATATAAAAATGTAATATAATATTCCTCAAAATATATAAACATAATTATAGGTATCTTAGATTTTAAGTGGGGCAATGACTGTATTAGTTTTACAATGATGTGTGTTATTGTTATTTTTTGCGTCTATGTATAGGTACGTGATAAAGTAGTCGAAAAAATCTTTTGGTTTTAGTTAGTACTTTAAAAAATGAAAATGAAATATGTTTAGTACTTTTTTTTTATGTATAATCGGGAAAAATAAACAAAAAATTATGGAAAAATGGCAATTTTTATAACACATTTAACATTAACATATTTTTGTTCAACAGAATCCATTTTATAATGATAGCTTTAATGTTAGAGTAAATTTATCTATTATTAAACTTAAAGGTAAGAATTTTATTTAGGCCATCACATAAGTTTTTATTGATATATTTATTTTAAACTAAGTTATAGCTATATAAAATATTAAAACTTTAAAATGCTCATATCTCACTTTAAAATTATAACATTAAAAATCCTATGTGATGGCCTAGATAAAACTCTTACCTTTAAGTTTGATAATAGATACATTTACTCTAATATTAAAGCGAACAACACAAAATGGATTCTGCTGAATGAAAATTTGGTGTGGCATGAATGTAAGACGGAGATAACATATGCGAGTGCGGCGTCCTCTTAATGATCACAACCATGTGCAATACATTCGTAGTATTTCGTAAAATTGTTCAAAATTTTCGCATAGCAACAGGACGTTCGAGTCAAAAATATAGATACATATTGTTATCTAGGGACTAAGACTTAAGCCGGTTCTTACAATGTTCAATTAAAGTTAACGGACACTTAACCTGCGGAAATCTGCGGGTAAAAAGCCCACTAACCGTCGGTTAACCGTTAACGGGCACTTAACCGGACATTGTAAGAACCGGCCTTAGAATATTTTGTCCAAAATCATAAACATTATAAACTATAATTAGTGTCCGGATTTGTATGCACTCAAAAAGCTTAAAATGGTATATTAATATGCATCAAAAAAACCTTTAAATATGCACTTGATATGCTCTTATTTTTTTAATAATATGCAAAAATATACTCTTACCCAAAATATATGAATTTATTATTTTTTCCATAAATATTAATACAACTTAATATTTTTATTACAGACTGAGACATCAAATTACAACATTAATTTAAGGCCAATAAATATTTAAAAAATAAAGTAGACACTTTAATTAAAAATAAAAATAAAAATGTATTAAATTCTTTTATAACATTTCTTTGGTAAAATTTATGAAAACAAATATAGATACAATGAAGATAATTTATAAAAACACAAATAAAAACATTCTGATTAATAAATAAAAATCGACATTTACTTTTTATAAAAAGAGTTGACAGTAATATTTTTTTCTATCAGTTCAGGTGTCATATTTATCCTTCTATCACTTAATATATGTTTATTTTTATTTATTTAAATTAATATCGAAAGATTACTAGGCGTCATTGAGAGGAACTAGTATTTGTACAAACGAATTTTTTTTTCCACACAATTGACAAAAAATTACAGAACCGTATATGATAAAAATTATGTAGTCTGTTATATTTTACAATGCAATTCATTATTTAATAAAGTTTGAACACTACTGTCATTACTATATATGACTTTTCAGGATTTTGAAATTTACGAATTTACAAAACTCGTAAAATTATTAAACGAATTCGTATATAATATATATGAAATACGTACGAAAAAATTATATCTAAAGACGATTTCCGACTGGCGATTACTGCATGATGATTAAATACCGACTAAAATGCTCGACAGGCGACAACATGAGGCGGCGTGTTTACATAATATAAGACTAAAAACAATAATTATTGCACAAAGGAACTTTATATTTTATATATAGCTGGTCTTCATTGTTGTCGATGACTTCACTACGATAAACGAGATATAATTTCAACAAAAATTATTCAAAAATATAAAAAACAGGAAATAATTTATTTCCCTACAACACCTCACAAACTCCTAAATCTAGTTTCTATGGTGAAATATAAACAAAAATAATTATTGGTATAATGAATTATTATATACAAAATATGCTTGATTATACCAAATTCTTCAAATATGCTCTTATATTATCTAAAATACGTATTAATAAGTAAAATAAACTTTTTTTCTATGCATTCTCTGCTACACTAATAGTTTACATTTCTCATTCCCGTTAAACTGCATACACTCATTATAAATATGTAAATGTATATAAAACTTAAATCCGAACCCCAATCATAATCATCAATAAAAATGCTATAAGTAATTACTTGATCTAGATGTTACGTTTAGAAATCGGAGCATTACAATATTATGTTGATCCATCAAATATCCGGTTCCCAGTGTAAAATTAACTTGTTAGAACCCAACCAATCTGAAAAATTCTGATTATTTTAATGTAAATATAAATAATATTATATGCCTATTTCCTGTTAATATAATAGGAGTAAAATAAAATTAATTCATAACTATTTTTAATACACTTTGTAATCGATCAGTTTAAAAAAAACATATTATTTCAACTAAATTTTGTTTTCTTTAATGAATCACAAAAATAAAATGTATGTGTGTATAAAGTATAAATAAATTAAATTATAACAATCTATTTTAAAAATAAATAATATAATATTATTAATAGTTCATAATATTTATTAATGACTAATGAGTAATTAATTTAATTAAATAATAACATTGCATATTGTCATTTATCTATTTTCTATTGTTGTTGATTAATCTTTATTGTTATTATTTGTTTTTAAATTATTTTAATATATTAATACAAAATATTTTTTTTAATATTCACTTTCTTTACTCGGCTAATAATCGGTATCTGGTCTGTAAGAGAATTTGCTAACAGGAACATAACTCAATAAATACCTAAACCGGCTTAACCTTGTAGAGCTCTGAGCTAGGTACATTTTATTAAATTTCGAATTTATTCTGTGATAGCAAGTTCTGCTTCTGTAATGATGGGACTAGAGAGCCTAGATAATATAATCTAGGCTCTCTAGATGGGACTGTCAGGATTTGTTAATTGTTATCCATGAGTATTTATCAATATAATAATTAATAAATGAGTTATCACTTATCGTGGAGGTATCGAGAACAAAAAACAAACAATTTACTAAAAATCGTTTTGGCAATAATTCTAGATCAAAACTACTTGCTAAAATATAAACGTTTATCAGTAACCGACTTTTTCAACGGTTTAGTTTTATGGTATCTCAGATAATTATGAATGATGTTTTGAGTGTTTTGATGAAGCCGAAGGACAAACGTCAAATAAGTATGTTTCACGATTTAAGATATACTTGGTACTAGGTAGTACATCTTAAATTATGACTTATGGTTATGATATAAATTATGCCTATCAGTATTTTAATTTTCAGTAAACTATCAGCTGCTCAAATATACTTGTTTTCGTTACCTCCACAAAATCTCATTTTTAATGTTTTCGAGAAATTTGACTATTGGAACATGTGGTGTGGTCACACTGAATTTATCACAGCTGATGATGTTACGACGGTTGTATTCAACTACCATTGTAGTCAACTTTACTATAACTTAACTTTTTTTATAGAGTTACTTACAAAGTTACTAATACTAGATTAATCCGTAAAAAGTATTTCGTCAATTTATTGTTTTTAAGAGTACATAATATTATTATGGTGAACGGTGAATGCTATTGATGTATACCGTATCATTGTTACGAGTTACAACTTAAGCTTACAGACTTGCTACTCGATGTTGTGTTCTGTTCTGATGTGACGGATCCAATAAACGTTCGCGTCGTTTTCTTATGAATATTGTTATTTACTAATGTCTTACACACTATTCGTGATTTTTGTATAACCATCTATTATTGAGTATAAAATAATCGACTTGACACGTCTCTTGTGAACGATATATTGTAATGTGTAATTTGAACCAATCACATTTTAATATAAATATATTTAGTAAATCGCGCTTTTTCACTTAAGATTTTCACACCTGCTATCTAGTAGATTGTGTGTGTGCCTATGACTGTTTAAATTAATTTTTATAAAATGTATCCAAAATTCATGGCTCATGCACGTTTAATACATTAGCGTTGTTCACTATGTTAGAAGATATCAAAAACGTAATGAGTTCCAAAAGGCCAAATAGTGATTCAAATGTACAGAATGCATTTATTCAAGAAATAAGAACTGGAAGATTATATGAGGTGAAAATTGACAGTGAAGTAAGTATTGTATCTTCCTGCCATTATTCTGTTTGTTTCTGTTTTTAATTATTACAAAAATTGATCTGTTTAAACAGTTTGTCATTGGACGTGCATTATGCTCCACTGTAGTAATCGGAGAAATATATGTTTCTCGCAGTCAATCCTTTATCAGATATGAAAATGGTCAATATCTCCTTAGGGACAATGTAAGTAAATTTAAGTATCTATAGTTTTTTATGTTTGTTATATTATTTTACTGATATTTGTACTGTATAAGTATACTCCTTGAAATATAGTTAGAATCAGTTGCAGAGGTGTACTGTGGGTAAATAATAAATAATGAAGGGTGTACAGTGATTGGATGATACATTAAGTTGTTAAAATTTACAATTCAATAAACCAAATTTTAATACCATCTATAATTTGCGGCTTATTCTTGAGTCCTCCAAAAATTTTAATAAAAATACAATTGATTCATTCAAAATAGGTAGTAATTTCACTGAATTGGCGACTGTTATAACAATTTCACTAAGAAGATTCATCAAGCATGTTCACCTTTTTTATCTTCAATAATGCAGTTATTCAAAATTTGTTTTTAGAATTTTTAAATTTTTCATATGACTACTTCTTTTTTCTAATGACAAATCTTTCTTTTCTAAAAAATTTTTATGAATCGGTACACAAGTAGTTTTTAAGTTATTTAACTTTGTAGACTAGTAGTTTGATAAATAATTTACCTGATACTAAATCTATTTTATATTTTAGTAATACTATTTTTTGAGGACCATTATTAACATTAACATTTTCTACTCATTTGTATTTTATTAATGAAAAACAATATTATCCACTAAATAATTAACATTAAAAAGAGGAGAGATTTTTTTTTGAAAAACAAAAGTTAATATTACCACAGAACTCTCTTTAAGTTGGACAAAAAAATCCCAAAAGTTATAATTGATTATGGTCTATTTATATTCAAAAATTCCAAAAAAATAGAATTTCAATAAATTAATAATTAAATGAAAAACATGAATTAGAATACTTGGGAAATCATTGTCATCATTAACTATTATATTGTGTATAATAGTTTATAAATTAAAAAAAATAACCAGATGTATTTCTTATTTCAATAAAAATATCCTTTTGAATTATTTTTATTAAATTATCATTTATTAATAGTTACTAACTAGCTAGTGTTTAATTTTATTAAGAGATGCAGTTTCAAAGTCTATTCTGGATTGCCACTTGGGAATCTTACATGAAAAGTGAATTGTCATAAATCAGGTTTTAAACATTTAAGTTTGTAGGCTCCTTACGTAGCTATTATTAAGCTATAGGTATTCATAATTCTTAATGTTTTCTTTTAAGATTAATCAAATATATATATATATATTTTTAATATGCACAATATTATCAATTGTGAGTTTCTATTATTTCAACACAAATTTAATAGTTGAAGATAATGTAGAGTAGAATATAGTGAGTAATAAACAATAGCAAATAACTTACTATAAATCAACAAAAAATCTTGCAATTCTGTTTTCACATTTTAAAATTTTTCTTTTTTCAGAATGCAGGCTGTGGAACATATTTGAATTACAGAAGAATTACAAAAACTGAAGTTCCATTAAAACACGGAGATCTTATTGCATATACTGATAAACCAAGAGTCTGGGATTTTGTATATAAGTTTTGTTTAGTATCAAATCCTAATAAGAAATCCAGGTAAATGAATACTGATTTGTATGTAATAGTGTTAAAGAATACAAATTGATTAAATAATTATTTTTAACTCAAATTTAAAATACTATATCAATAAATATTCTGTATGTATAAAAAAAATAACAATAATTTCAATTAGTGAGCTTATGTGTACCTTATGTATCTTTTAGATTCTGAGTAAAAAATTGATTGCACTGGTAATAAAAAGAAAATGTATTTTATTTTTTTTATCACTTTTTTCTAGTGTCTTTTAGGTAGAAAATTCTATTTTGTAGGTAATTAAAATGATAATATTTCTTTTAATTTTCTTAATATTATACTATAAAAAAGATAATGGAAAATAGGAAATTTAATACCAATTTTGGATAAAATGAATTATTTTATTTTTTTGTTATTTATGATTTGTTTCTATAAAACAAGTTTATTGCTCAGGCAAAAAGCTTAAAAATTTGATAAAAGTTCAGTGTTAGCTTCTTGTATGTTTCTTATGTGCTTGATCAGATAATCACCACCTTTGATATTTAAATGTAAAATAATTTTTTGTTAATTTAAAAACTATTCATCGTATTATTTTGAAACATCCCACTACAGCTGAAATTATTATTTTTATAAACTATGATATTTTCAAATTATTAAGTTATTTTAAGCTATTTATTGCATTTAAAATTTTTAAAAATGTTAAGTTTTTTTTCAATTATAAATAAATTTTAAACTTAGTCAAAAAATATTGAAATTTTAAGGCAAATATCATGTAAATTGTTTAATAGCAATCTAAAAATATCATAAATAAATAGGCATAATTTTTTTAATAATTGTAGTTAATATTTTCAAAAATATGAACATTTTAATCATTTCAAGTTCAAATTTCTTCAAAATTTAGATACTAATTTAAGCAGAACAGGTTATTGATAATATTTTATGAAATAATATTAAAAATGTATTATATTTGTCTTCACCAAAATTTATAATAATAATATACTAATATGTATATTGTATATATTTAATATTTGTCATAAGAAGTAAAACCATAGAGGTTATTTTATAGGGTTTTAGAGTCTTAATTAGAAGATAATATTTGATATTAAGAACTTTTTTCATTTTACTTAACTCATAGTTGTTTATTGTTATATTAAATGTGTTCTAGTGATAAATTATTGCATCAAAAACTTATTCCGAGCAGTTTTGTTAAAATTGCATTTCTTAAAATGTCTTTAGATGTGTGGAGCGGAGAGTGATCAATTTTCTTTATGTTTAGAAAAAATAAAACTTTCTCAATTTTAAATTTTTTAAAACAAATAACATGTAAAAAATTAATATATTGTGAAACTTACAATTTCCTGCATTTACATTCAGAATTTTTGATATTTAAAATATTAAGAGTACTTTTTTTATTTTATGGTGAGATGGTGAGCATGTTTTTTATTTACAGATTAAATGGAGAAAATTCTGCTACAGAGGATTTAAAAAAATTAAAAACCCCATCAATGCATGAGCTTCTGAATCTTGTAAAGGAAGTAAGTATTATTAATTTACTTAAAATAAATTAAAAATTGTGAATATATAGTTGACTAATTTATGTACTCTTTTTCAAATTAACATATATTGTAAAAAATCATACATTTTTTTTTTCTGTGATATTACAACTAAGGTGGTTCCCAAAAAGGACTAATTCTGCTAAGTAGCAAAATTATACATAAAAGTGTATAACTGACCAAAATATTGGATTATTTATTAATAATATATGTTGATTTTCTAATACTCATTAATTATGGATTGTTTTCAATTTAAATTAAATAGTTTTAATGATAATGTGACAGTTTAAATTCATCATATACAAATTTTTCATCTTTGTTCTTGTAAGCCAGCATATATTTTGTATGTGATAAACACCTGTGTATTTTATTTGAACTTTGATAAAAGTAATATATTTGATTATATGAATATTATTTTATTTATTTTTTAGTTAAAAGATGATAATGAAAAGTTCATTAACGATACCAAAATTGAAATGGATAAATTAAATAAAATGATCAAGGATGCAACAGAATTGAATGACAACATGAATAAAGAAATGATTAAAGTACGTAAAATTCATAGTATACTAATGAATGTAAATTAATGAACAAATATTTTTTTTTCAGCTACAAAATAACAATCAAGAGTTGAATAACGAGTTGACTATTTGTCGCGAAAAATGCGCGATGCAAAAAGGTAATATTGTGAAATTATTCTTAAATACTTAAAATGTCATTAAAAATTTGATTTGTTCAAGTAGAATTGTTGGATGTTAAAACTGCACTGAAAGAAGAACCTGTAGAAATATTTAAAAATCAAATCAATAAACTTTTAGAAAATGATTTTCAATGTTCAATTTGTAATGAAGTGATGTATCGGGTATAAACTATTTATTTATTTAGTAATGTTATTATTAAAGCACGGATTTTTATGCACTAAGAAGTATCGAAATAATTTCTAAATTATCTTTATAATATGCAGTAAAAATTATAAAAATATGCAAGAACATTTTTTTTTATTTATTTAAAATTCACAAATTAGACAACTTATAATAATTAAATACTTAAATATAAAAAATATTCACTTTAATATGCAATATATTTCAAGTTTCGTAAAAACAATAAGCGATTACATAGAAATCCGCGCTTTAGCTATTTTCATTATTATATATATTTTTTTAAATATTTTTATAAAGGCAAGTACAGCAAATTGTAATCACTCTTTCTGCGAAAGCTGTCTCAAAAAGTGGTTAACTAAAAGCAAATTTTGTCCTGTTTGCCGGGGTGTTGTGCAGAATATAACTTATTGTCTTGCTTTGGATAATTATATCACAAACATATGTGATGTGCTAGGTGGAACAATAAAGGAACAACGTGTTATTTTAAAACGTGAAAGTAAGAACTTTTAATACATTTTTTCTATTATTATTTTAAGTTTAATATGTTGATAGTATGGCCAATAAAAAATGAGCTGCAATTATCACGCTCCTACAGGCTGTTTTTTCATATTCAGAGATTCTGTTTACAAGCAAATCAACAGCTATTAGCGCTTTTGCATATTTTAAATTTCTACTAGTTTTATGAGTACAACTTTTATTTTAATGCAACTGTTGTCTACAATCCACATTCCAACATTCTGTAAACATTTGACTCATCAGTTGTTTTACAATTACATACGTGTGACCATACCTTTTCATTTGCAAATTGTATTATTGACTTACCTTATAGCATTATAACTGTTGTGTACCTACATGGTTTTTTTTTTAATTTGAATTATTGTTTAGCTTTAATTTATTATTTACATATAGTAATTTTTTATGGCCTAGTTCTGAGGTATCCACTTTCAAACCTTGAATATAATTTTTAGTGCCAAAGCAAGAGCTTTAAAATGCAAACCAGAACTTTATGGTTTTTTTTTCAACAAAATTACAAGGTCATTGTTGTAATGAGTTGTGCAAAATGTACTACTGAATTGAACAACAATTTTGACAGTGAAATTGTTAGAACGATTTCTATGATAAAAACTAGTTTCAATAAGTGCCAAAATATTGTTACATGTTAATCACTGTTTGAAATAATTTTACAAGGAAAAAAATTTGAACTGCCTGATAACATGTAGTAGATGTGATCGTCACAATCACAGCTCACTTTCTGCTGGCTGTATAATAGTGCTGTAATCATGTATTATTCAACATAATATATTATTTGATTTAGGAAGTGGGCATCCACCTCAAATGGCTAAAAGAGGTAGAAGAAGAACAAATACATCAACCCGCTCTAGAAGAGAACCCATATATGATGGCGGTGAAATATCACCAGCTGTGCCTATCAGAAATATCCCTAGGTATCAAATCTACCAACCTAATATTATTGATATTGTAGATCTTACAAATAATACATCTCGATAATGTTATTATTTCATAAAATATTTTGGGCATACTTAAATGATTTTATGTTTTTGATCACTCATTTGTATTTTTAAATCTACTAATTTCATAAGTCAATGAAATCCTAGTGCATTATATTATGATAAGGCACTAATGTTCAAACATTTTTTTTTTCTAAAATAAGTTCTATATTTAATGTAGACCTAAGAATTCATTAGAAACCCTATATTCTTTTGTATTTATATAAAATATTTAATAAAAGTATTCTATAATAAAATATCTTTTTGTTCTTTGTTTTATTAAGAGTCTCACATTATAATAACATACATTAATTAAGTTTCAATTAAATGTAAAATAACTATTTTAAATTTATATTCTTACTTAGTATTTTATTATATTTAGATCTGTGACTGAAACATGTAGTTATTAATTTTCATTTAGATAGATTACCCAAAAAAATCTTTTTTAGTATTACATATTATAATAAATTTAAATATAAATCTTAATTAAGTGATCCAATATTTAATTATGTTTTTTTCTGTTGTACAATTGTATTACGTTCTGTTAAAATGTTTTAAGTTTACTTAAAGATTTTATTTTATACTTTTAAATATCAATAAAATGGGTTGTATGTGTTTTTATCTGATATCCAGAGTTCAATTAAAAATTATTTAAACTATAAATTATTTTATTATTATTTTAAACAGTTATCATCAATATTTATAGTTTAAGTGTTTATTAATGTAATTTTTTTTTTCTTATACTATATCCAAAGTTTATAAGACATATTGTTAATCAACACATTTTTGGTTACTCTGCTACAATACATGAACATATAAATTATAAACTGAAATTAATTTTGATATTTTTAAAATGAAAATAGTGAAATATACTATTCTTTAAATGAGTACATTATAATTTTATTAAAAATAATAAATATCTTTCTCAGTTGTGAGTTATATATATAATTGTATTAAATTTGGTGAGAATCCATAGTAAGATCTGTTGTCCAGTATAATATATATTGTTCATACTTAATCAAGTATTGTATTTGAGATTAAACTTATTTTTATTTTTATAACCATTTGAAACCTGAATATTATCCATTTTCTATTGATTTTTTTTTTGTTAATTTTGACTGAAATAAAAGCTTCTTTACATGTTTTTCTTTTATTTTTATATAATCAATTTAAATTATTACAGTGAAACTATTTAAAAATTCTAATTGAAGATAGGTAATAAGAAAAAAAATATATTTAACAATAATTAATTAAATTGGTATTTATATTTTATTTTATGAAAAATCATGAACGATTATTCAAAAATTTAAAATTTTTTTAAGGCAAACATGTTATATTTACTGATTGAGTTGGTTATTAAAAAAAATATAATCTTGATAAATAAATATCATTAAGGAATCTTTGTTATTTTCATCATACGTCCACATTTAATGGTACCGAGTGAAACTAAAAAAAAAAAATATAACTAGATAGTAACATCTAATTTTAGATAACATTTTTCTTGAAATCTTCAATTAATAATTACTTGCATAATGTTTGATTGTCTGGTATGTACCTGTTTAAAAATTTAATAAATTGTGATTATAGCACAGCTAGATAGTTATTGCCTTTATCGGCTTTATCGGTGGCTAGTCAATAGTTACTACTAGAGTGTGCCCTAAGAATATGACTTGACAAATATATTTATATTTGATATTTGTAATCTTAAAACTGATATAATTAATATTTTTACTTCTTGTCGCATGTCAAAATATATTGTACTTAAAATATGAACACAAAAATTATACTCTTAAATCCAGTGAGTATACATTTTATTATTATAATTTTTTAAAGATTTCATCTATCAAAGCTAGAATTTTATCTTTAATGATAGACGATGCAGTGCAATGTCAATTTGCAAACCTTAATTCTGCTAAATAAATAATTAATAATTATTATTTATGTTTTTAAAAATGTATAAATTATTGGTATTTGGTAGCTATTTTATAATCAATATGTGACTAAAAATTCACAATATCAGGTTAATAAAAGGGCTGTTAAATTATATTAATGGTTAAAAACTCTTGGTACAATACAATTGTGCATAAAGCTTATATTTTCTCTATCTTAAACTATTTATGTTTAATAATAAACCAATCTGTAATTTGTAAGAATTTAACAGGTTTGTTAAATAGCAAGATATACTTATGTAGAGCACAAAAAATTATTTTTATAAAACAAAATATAATATTTAACAATAAAAGATGAATAATGTGTGTGCTTGAATTTTAATAACTAATTTTGGCTTTTGAAGATAATACACATTGATTGTGTAATACCATAGTTCACATTAACTATGTTTTTTAAACAATTATTTAGGTGTTAGTTTCTTAATAGTTTTCGGTAATAATTATTTCATTAAATTATAATTATATTTCATGTAAATAGATGTTATTTTCAAATGTAACCACAATTACAACATCACAATTGGGTTATTGATTTTTTAATTCTAAATTGTATTATATCCTGCTTGAAGTTTGAATTCCTTGTTGATTTTCACTGAAAAATTTAAAGATCTATCGATATAATATAAAACTATACTTAAATGCATTGTTTGACTGATTAAATATTATTATTTAACTGACATTTTGTTTGTAGAAAATTTATAAAATAACATATTTGAAATTTGATGAACTCTAGAAAACAATGTACAAATCAAAAAACAAACAGCTGTTTAATACTGATTATAATAAACACACTATACATGATTTGCTAAACCAAATCATAAATTAATGCCCATGACAGCAAGGTGATATTTTTTTTCTTGTACGTACATGATGAATTGAAAATATTTTTACTGAGGTTACTAGGCATAAAAGTTAAATGTCACATCAAACTAAAGATTTTAGTTTAAAATATACAATATATTTTTTATTTATGTAATAAAGAGTAACAATGTTCACAGTAATGATAATAAATAATAATTTAATAAGACTAGATTAAATACTTTGAATGTATTAAAGTTAAAATCAATAATGAATACTTATAAATTAGTACAGATGTACAGTGTTAATGTTTTAAGTTGTCGACTGTTGATAGTATATATATTGTCAGTAACGTTCTGGTTTCTGTTCACTTAGACTCGGCACTAGGCCATTCTTGCCACCAGATATACCATGTTTTTGCATAATACTACTTTTTTTTTTTAATTCACATAGCAAATGCTTGTTATGGTCTTCTACAAAATCTAGTTTTTCACATATCCTTGCATTTTCTTGCTGCAGTTTAACCATCTTGTCTAAAACCATTTTCATTTCAACAGAGGTATCAACAATGTTTTTTTTCTGTAACTCTTTGGTCAACTCGGACACAGTAGTTTTAAATTTTCGTTTAGAAACATGCAAATCATCTTGAGTGCATTCCAATGTGGTTTTTAAGTCTGCAATCATTTGCATTTTATGCGCCAAATGGTTTGCTAGTTCTTTTTTGTCAAGGTTGTAAAGCTCTTTTTCTTTTTCCATACTGTCCTCTTGTGATTTGAAAGCAATCTTGAGATCATTATTTTTTTGTTTCAATATATCACAGTCGTTTTTTAATTTTTCTAAAGCTGTTTGTAAATTTAAGCATTCTGACTGCAGTGATGCATTGCGGGAACTTAAACTTTCAGTGAACATAAGCAATTCATTGGTTTTGATTTCACAACTTTGTGTGTAAGTTTTAAGATCAATATTTTCATTTTCCAAAGAATTTACAGTACAAGTACATTTGGTTAATTTATTGTTCAAATCTTCGATAACACTTTTTAATTTGTTCATCTCTTTAAGTTGTTGCTCTGAACATTGCTTCAAATCCAAATATATTCTACTATTCAGTATTATTTTTTCTAAATTACTTTCTTCATTAAATGATTCATTTTGTTTGGTCAATAATTCCAATCTATTTTGCAGTTCTTGAATTTCTTGTAGTAATTTACTTTCTGTTTCATGAGAACACTTTGATTCATGTTCATACTTGGTTTTCCAGAATTCCAAGTCTTTTGAAATTTTTGACTTTTCATCTTTGAGCAAGTCAATTACAACCTTGTATTCCTTGATTTCTTTGTTCTTTGTTTCTAATACGGTTGTACAATTAGCCATATCTTTACAGTTGGCTTTCAACCTTGAAATTTGCTTGTCCTTATCCTTTAGGTTATCCATAAGTTTTTTCTTTTCTGTATTTAGATCCAGAATTTCCTTTTCTTTAAGTACATAGCGCATAAATGCCGCTTCCTTCTCATGCTTGGCAGTGTCATACATTTTCTTTGATGACTGTAACTGTGATTGCAAATCGCTGACGTCCGTCAGGTACTTGTGCTCATTGATGGCTAACTGGCGTTGATAATAATCGAGCTCATCTCGTTGCTGTCGAACGACGTCGCTGAGTACTTTCTGTTGATCTTCACTGGGTACTTGCAGTTGGTCTTCACTGGGTACTTCTAGTTGGTCATTACCGGGTACTTCAAGTCGGTTTACGACGGACATGCAAGTTTTTTCTTCCTCCTCGTCATCATCCACTACCTGGATGTTGTCGACACGATCACTATTTTCTGTCGTTTTTGACGGCGGAGAATCGTTCGCAATCTCCGGAATTTCCATGATTGCTCAACGGACAACAGCTACCGACAACGGTCACAACAGCTGCGTGACGTGTTAACGGAGCACGTCATCATCGTCGGTAAGCCATCAGTCTAGTAATGAATCCTTCTATTGTCGAACACTCGGAAAAACAGTTGTAGAAAGAGGAGAAACAAACTATGAACAAAAATTGAACGCCAACAAAATTCGACGTTTTATGTAGGATTAAAGGTAAATCACAAATCGTGATTGAACCGAATTTCCTAGTTTTTGAAGTGCGAAAATGAGTTACAGAATACAGACTTACAGTACGTTCAGTAACTAGGCAACGGAACTGCAGAGTGCAGCAGAAGTAGACGTGAATCGTATAGTAAATATTGTTCATACAATCAAAATTCACGAGCGCGCGAGCTCCGGTATCCGATAACGGCGAGCGATAACGCTTCGACGCGGCAGAACTGCTGATAACGCAGAGGATGTCACTTGGTAATCTCGTCCGTGATCCACGACCGCGGTTGCTTGGTTTATAGTCATGCAGCGTCCGTGACCGATTTTTTTTTTTTTATGGTGGTCACACTCGCCCCACGAGAACATTATTATAGAGCTTCAGCCGACCAACATTGCGGCCGGTCGGTCAGCGTGCTCCCCACCACTCGAAGATAGCGAACCGTCAGACAACATTGCGCGTGCACAGGTCCCGAAGACACGCCTCCAGCCTCCCAAACCATTCGCAATCCGCGTCGAGACTAGAGCGTAACTGCGCATAAGCCACGTATTCGTTTGTCGCGCAACCGCTGTCGCCGGCCGGGAGAGAGAATTCCGTATTCCGTAGAACATATTGCATAGATTCGGGACCGCTCCGCTCAGCCACCGCCGCGCCACCGATCGTCGTTGGTTTGCTGATCGGCGATCACCATTATTCGTTCATCGATCACTGTTCACTGTTCGGTCGACGGTCGTCGCTCACTCGTCTCTTTCCCGTCTCCTGTTTGCCGTATGCTGCGGTAGCGTAACTATCTCCTAAAACGAACCGCCGTTTGGTTTTCCGCGTTTTGTCGGTACCGTCAACCTCCCGATTCGGGTCTTTATCTCAGCGACCCGCGCCGCCGGTACGACCACAGATGTAAGTAATTTGTCCGCTACGCGACATCCCTGTCCCCTTCTATCGGCGCGGTGATCACGGTCGAATCGTCTCCGGCCGACTTATCGCGCGCGTTTCTCAACAAACACGATTTTGTCGGTTTCTGATTACCCCTTTTCTCGTTTCAGCATCCCACAATACTGCGGTTGGATGACTAAGACTTCGTTACAAACTTGAGCAGCGACGTACGCGGACTTGAAAATAAAAACAACAACAGCTTAAGACTATTATACGTCTACCATGGCTTCACCGTGTTTATATTTCATGAGAGGATCATGTCGATTTGGCAACCGTTGCTGGAACTCTCACGATCTGGGATCCGCCCGTTCTCAAAGTTCTTTGCAATATCAATGTAAGTAATCCGCCGCACGCGTAATACCCCTGTTCAACGACAACTTTATGTGTTGTACCTGTTTTGTGTGTTCCTCTCTTAAAGTCATTGTCGATGACTGTTGTTTTGTATTTTTTACTCGCTTTTCACCAAAGTTATTTTATTGTCATCGTAAATTTCGATAATATTTATTTGGTCTATTTTTTTCCCATTTATTTGTAGATTTCGAAAATAATTTTGAACTTGTAAAGCATACAAAAATCATTAAAGAGTTCTTTCAGTTCAAATTTAATTTTGCTATCTCAAATTTGTTCCTTACAAGCTTTTTAATCAATAATTTTATTATCTCTTCTGTCCGATGTGTATACTTCAAAATTATTAATTAAATTACTATATTTTTTTTTTTAATCAAAAAAATTAATTCCAAATTACACTCAATAAAATCTACCATTGGCAGTGTTCTGATATTATAAATAAGAACTCAACATATTAACTTATTTAAAGGAAACTTAAAAAATATTTGAATCTTTTTTGCATCTAAAATTGTAGTTAAATAACTTATGTATTATCTATATTTTTATCCTAGGAGCATAACTAAAAATTAAATGATAGTGATTCAAAATTTATGTTGCAATTTTTTTTTTTTTGGCTGTTAAATATTTTTAGCTTCGTTTTTACCTAATAAGCAATTGTCTAAATTCTTTACTTCAGGATTGCATAGAAAGTATAGATTCTCATTTGAATTTCTTAAATTCACTTCCAAATACCTCCTCCTCCTAAAATATTGAATAAATATATAAAAATTACTATTCATTTTAGATATTTCTGAACAAAAAAAAGTTTCTTATTAAACATTTTAAATTATCTTCTATAAAAGTTTACAATTTTTTAATATATTATTATATATTTGTTTTTATAGTAGATTCCTCTGATGATGAACTGAGCTTGCCTGTGGTGATATTGAGAGATTATACTTCTCCATCGACTTCTTCACCAAGTAGTAGTGCTTCTAGGCCTAGACAAAGAAATCAAGTTCCTCCCAATTCAGCAAAAAAGTATGATATATTTATTTTTTCTTAGTTATTTTTGTCTTTTACTAAAAAATCATATTAATTTTAGCCATCTGAAACTGATAAAACTGAAAAAACTGAAAAAACTGATAAAACAGATAAAACAGATGAAACGGTATCACAAGATAAGTGGAGTTTACAAAGTAATTAATTTTTTTTTACCGTATAAATAATTTTTTATCAAATAATTTTTAAAATATTGCTTTTAGATAATAATACTGGAGAGACAAGAGAAGGTACACCTGATAGTGTCCTAGTAGAAACAGTAAAAAAATTAAATGAAGCTGAAAATTTAGTAATATCACTTCGCCAACAGCTACGTATTAAGAATGATGGAGACAATTTCTCTTGGGTTGAACATCAAATAGAACAATGTATTGAAAGTGATCTGCAATGTAACATATGTTACGAAATGTTTATCAAGGTAATAATGCTTAATAAAATAGACAATAATTAATTACTTTTTATGTTTTCATTACTTAGAATCTTAGATATTTTTCAATTAACATATTTAAATTTTTTATTTTTAAATATATTTATTATTATTTATTCTAGTCATTGTTATAATGTAAAATTTAAAAATACATTATAATACCTAACCCATATTTTTTAACTTAATATTACTATTTTATAACAGTAAATTATACATTTTGAAGAATTCATATCACTTAATCCTTATTTTTTTTTTGTTTGATTATAAATAGACCTATTATTAATTAGTAAATTTAAAGGTAAGAATATTATTATCCAGGATCTCATTAAACTATTTACATATTTTTAAAATATAAGAATTCTTTATGTGACTGGATCAATAAACCTGGACCTTTAAATTTGATATTAGATCAATTCAATCTAATATTAAAAATGTTAGTTAAATAGATAATTTACGTATAATTTTATAAAATCCATTTCAATATCATCACATTCAAATCAAGAGTTTTTTTTAATATTATTTTTTCATTATTAATAGCAGATAATTTTTTTTTTTTTTTGCAGCCAACTGTGCTAAATTGCACTCATACATTTTGTCAATATTGCATAGAGTCATGGACCCGAAGAGTTAATCACTGCCCAACATGTCGAGTTTATGTTAAAAATAGATCATACTGTCTAACTTTAGATACCTATTTGGATAAAATATCTGATTGTTTACCAGAAGAAGTAAAAGTGAGGCGAGAATCTTTAAAAATTGAACGTAACAATAACAGAACTAATAGAGGTAATGAATTGTATTAATATAATATATGAATAAGTAATATTTATTTTATTTTTTATTATTTATTATAATAATAATTAATATTGCAGTGGAGATGGATAGAAATCGAAGTAATAATAGGAGGAGAAGAAATAATAGAAACAACCAATCTATGCGTTCAGCTTTAGGCGCATTATGGGGTGAACGAGATCGAGATGGTGCTGAATGGAATATTGCATTGGAAGAAGCATTATTTGATCCAATACACCTAGGTGGTCCAACTGATAGAAGATACGAAGTAGAAGACTGGGATGATTTGTCTGATAGCACCTTAGATGACAGGTATTATAAACAATTATCTTATAATAATTAGATTAAAACTAGGCTTAATCTCTGAATAAGTAGTTCTTTTGGTATATCTAGTCATGTGCAAATTATTAAGAACATTGAAAATTCTTACATTAATTTACTAGAAAAAATTTTAATAGTATTATCATAATTTTGGTAGTTAAGACTAACAGATATTATTTATTTGAAAGGTGGATAACTTTGAAATGTGCACAAATGGAGTAAGATTTCTTTTTTATTATTATACCACAAATTACATATTGTTTCTATACATTTTTTATTAGATCATATCTATAATATATGGATGTGTTATTATTTGAGATATTTATTTATTGTTGATAATCAATAACTATAACTTCGACCACTATTTATTCATTTTTGAAAGTAGTGACTTGGGACTGGATTTTAATATCTTTTAATTATCAAAAATGCATGTGGACATTAATATACTACAATATAAATTGATAGTTATATTACTTTATGATTATTAAAATAGTCAAGACTCATCCTTTTGCAAATTAAGTTCATAATGGAAATAAAATAGATAAATTGATCAGGTGATAAAAAAACAAATTTTAATATTTAAAACTATATTAAGTTTTTCTTTATCCCATATTTTTTTAAAAAAATATGCTCTACATTTGTTTAGTATTAGAATGATCTTTTTAGTTTAGAAAGTATTTTGTTCAGATAGAAAAAATATGCCAATACTTTGAAATCTGAACCCTATTAGTCACATTATTTAATAATGTATTATAACATGGAGGTTGTAGTAGTTATATAAAGTTAAGTTCTAGAATAATATTTGATTTTATTTACTATCAAAAATATGAATTTGAAAATTTATATGGGATATTTTTTTATTGCTTAACTTAATATTATTTTACTTAAAAATTGATTAGCTTACAAGTATTCAATTTGAAAATATATATCTGCACAAAATCATCTACTTTACCATTTATGTAGTCTATAACTAAAGAATTATAAGTTCATAGTAATTTATAATGTTTCTCTGTGTTGAATATATTACAAAACTTCACTTGCAGTCTTATTCTGTTTAAAAATCTGTTTTTATACAATACAGTAAAATTAACATATTGTGGATTACTGTGATCATTATTTGTTTTTTGTGGTAATGCTATAATATTTATTATTATTTTAATACATATAACCATTAAATTCATAATGCATTTTAATAAATTCTAATAAGAGCTCTTATTTGCGTGGAGATATATTAATTTCAAAGATGGATATATACAATACAAATAATATTAAATTTTAAGTATATATGTATTAATTTTAAATGATTTAAACCGTAACAAAATAATCTTACTATTTTAACATTAATATAGCAATAATTAGCTTCTAATAAATGAAAATAATTATCCTTTCAATATCTATATAATGTGCAAAATTTATTTTCTTATTATTAAAATATAATCAAATTACATAAGCATTATGAAAGTTAAAATTATTATTGCAATTTTAATTTTTGAATCAATCAATTGTATGTTTTTATAAAGATTTTCCTTCTAAAATTAAATATCTTTAAAATTTATCATACATGGTCTGGTAAAGAGGTATGAAATTCTTCAATAATCATTAATTAAAAAATTATGTAAATTTATAATATCTGCTATTTTGTACCTATATAAAAACTGAGTTAAAAGGTCTTAAACATTTTTTCTGTGTGTGTCGTATCTCATGTAATATAATAACTTCCACATTTAAAACTGATTTATTTTAGGTTAAAAGAATTTATTATAATTATACTTCCTATGCACTGGTTAGATAATATTTTATATTTTTAAACTTTGATAATTTTTTAAAAATAGAAAATATCAAAAAAATGTTGGAATCGAAAAAATATATTAAGGAGGTCCTCAATATTGAAATTTAGACTATGAAATATTTTAAGGGTGATTTGACGATCAAGAAGCCTCTCGGCCTCCTTATGTAGTATACACCTTGAAAAATATATTGATCACAGTTCCAAAACAACTGAAATGGGATCCACTTCTATCCTTTTCCCTGTTCTGTTCTTTATTTCTACTCCTTAATTTATTCTCATTTAAAAATTTCTAAATTTTCCTGCCGTATGCTGTATTTAAATTTAAATTATTTTTATCTCTCTTGAATTAAAGAAAATATTAACTTCCTTGTTAGGTATTTACATTCTTAAAATTAATTATTATTTTAAGTTTAATAACTTTTCAATAGCTTCACATTTTTCTATATTAAAATTATGTATGATATTTAAATTTAATTTTCCATGTTAATAAAATTATTAATTTTTATTAACTATGTACTTTAATTTACTTATTGTAAATGTTTAAATTGTGGGTACATTTTATTATGTAAATATAAAATTAAGCAACAGCTTTTATTTTGTATTTACGTATTGCTATAGTAACTAAAACACATTTCCTGTGTATCATATTTAAGTATACTTGTATGAAAACATACTTTTAAAAATTGAAAAATTAAAATATCAATGTAAAAACATATGTAATGCTGACCAAATAGTATATTTAATAACTAAGTACATGATGCCAATTGATATCATTCAGCATATTTAAACAATATTAAACAGCCCCCCATTCAGTGAAAACAATTTTATGGAAAACATGAATTTAAAAATGTTATGTTTTGAATTATTCATAATATAAAGAATATGTTATAAATTGCCTACATAATTTGCTAAAATGTTATTAAATTTTGATGGATGTTGAATTATATAGATTTTATAGGTTATTTATTGATACTTTTAGGAACTGTAGCATTTTTATGAGAATCTCATACCTATATGTGTAATCTTTGTCTTAATTATAAGAAAGTAAAATGAATTAGTTGACTTATTATCAAATTACTATCAAGTATATCATCTATGTTTTTACAATATTTTAATTTTTAATGTGTATGTAAAATATTACGAAAAAAAATACAAATAATGTTCATTTTTTAGAATTTGAAAATAAGTTATTTCACTTAAATATTAGAGCCAATTACACAAAATTAAGTTTATAAATATTTTTGTTGATCAAATAATTTGTTTTCCTAATCAAATTATAGATTATAATTTTTGTAGATATTTTATTTTGATAGTTCAAACAATTATAAAGAGTAAAACTAATAAATGCACCTTCCAAAAATTAAAAATTATAAACTTTAATGTTCAAAAATTAAGTTCATTAAATTATAGTTGGATGTTATTAGTTGTTCATTGAAGCAAAAATATATATTTGAAATAATGTTTTAATAAAATAAATGTGGCAATGTAGAGCCTTGTTTAAATTTAAAAAACTGACCAAGCAATTTTAGGATTGTGCTTTTATTGTATTCGAAATCTATTTGATTTTAATGCTTAGAAGATTATTTATGACTTAAACAAACTGAAATATGTTGTTTTTTCAGTATATTTTATTTAATATCTATTCGTATGTTTTTTTTTCCGGTCTTCAGTCATGAGTACATTTGTTCTTATTGTGACAATATGGGACACTCAGCTTCCAACTGCCCCATATCCATAATGGAGGAGGCTGATCATATATGGTAGAGCTAACCACTTTTTTCTACTATCCCGTTATTTATACTTGCGTTGAAGACACATTTCCCTAATACACTTTTTGCTGGGACTATTTATATATATATATATTATATTATACTTGTAATGTAATTGTTTTGATTATTAGTAGTAGTTTATGTCATAAATCGGGGTAAACTTGTTTCATTCATATGTCTTCAACTTATAATTGTTAATTGTTCAACTAAGATAATCGATTTATAGAATTTATGTATATTTTTTTTTTTCGTTCGTATAATCCGGGTCATTATAATAATATAATATCAAATAAATTAAAATATATTTTTTTTTTTTTATTATAATTAAGTTTTTTTTTTTTTTTTTTTTTTTTATTATAAATCATGGATTAATAATATTACTATGTAAGGTAATTATACTATTGAAATTAATTTGTAAGATTATTTTATTTATTTTCTGATTATAATGCTTAATAGATTTATATACCTATTCATAATTAAACAAATATCTTAAATTGTATATGTTCTTTTACATAACACGACACTTATATTAACGAGCACAATAAGCTTTCAATGGTAAAATCTTAATTGTAGGTTTGAACACTGCATTATTTATAAATATAATAACATTTAGTAAGCTAAATTTATGAATTATATTAAATTTAAGATAACCCTAATAGTTAGTTATACTAAATATGAAAGGATATTCAATCGTCTTTGAATGAAAATATTTATTTGTATCTTATACATATGGATATATGTTTGCACAATTTTGCTATAACCTTAATACTTATTTCAATATTTATGTCAATATGCATTAAATTTAAACAATAAAAAAATTAATATTATATTTTGACAAGTTATGAAGCTAAATCATTATAATACTCTGGTTGAAAGTCAAAATTCTGAATACATTTTTAAAATATTTTATAACATTTGTATTCATGTGCTTTTATATCAAAAAAACTAATTTTTCGATCTGTAATGAATTATGATAACTCATAAATCAGTTAACATAATATTCTAGCAGAATTAGATGTTAATATTAATCACAAAACAATATTAAAAAATTGATTTCTTACATTATTACAATTTTTATAAATGTTTCAGGTTTTTTTGCTTTTGAATAACTGACTTGGAAATCAAATATCAATTGATTTGATGTATATGATTATGGTATGATATATACTTTACAAAACTACTATTAAAATCCAATGTTATTGAAGTAACAACCAGTTACGTGCCTAGACTTAATAATTAATTTTTAAATAATGTTTATTTTTATCTTCCTGTTTTGTATGCATTAGGTCATTTTTGTGTAATTGTAACTTAATTATCATATTTTTTTTTTCTAATATCTATTCTACAGCTGTTGTATCACTAGTAGAATTATTTTGTATTGCTTTTGACGCTATTTAAACATTAAATTAAGTTTTTATTTTAACAGAAAAAAAATTTTTTCCTCTGTTTTATTTTCAACATATGTTTAAAAATTAAAGATAACTCCTCTATTATTGTTCTAATTATTTTCAGAAAAATTATCATTGATTTATATTTTTTTTTTTTTTTTTTTTATATTAATTAGATTTGTTTAGTTGTTAGTTTTATACATATCTTTTGAGGGTGGTAACAAGTTATCAATTTTTGTAACTTATTATTGTTTTTATTATTTTTGTTTGTTTTTTAGAGACACACAATGGAAATGTCTAACGAAACCAATTTTAGAACTATTTTATTGTAAAATACCCTTTATTTTAAATATTATTCAGCTGATAATACACAAATATGATGTGATGCGTAATAAAGATAATACATACATGATTTAACTATAAAATGGACTTATAATTATTAAATTTATCACATTTGTATCAGTGTTGGTTGAATAACTGCACTTAAAGAATAGATAATATTCTTTATATTACTTATGCTATTTTTTTACTATTCATTCAAATTTTAACCAATTGGTTATTATTTATTAATTATAAGTTATAAGTAAAAACTTATATTAGTATTAAGTATTTACTATTTAGGTACCATACTAATATTTAGGTTTTGATTTTTTTTTTAAATTTCAAAAGACAAATATGATTTAATCATTTTCCAGCAAATGTCTTTGTCGCCAACCTAAGCACTCCAAAATTGTAAAAATTCTATTTAACACTATTTTAAGTTCTCTTAAAATAATTTTCTCTGATGTGTTATTATTTTATAAACTCATTGGTCTTCATTCATAACATATTCCTAGTGAATTATGACCAAAAACCTGTATTATAATGTTTTTCTCTTACTTTATTATTTTAATGTCTTAATTATTAAATTGCAATGCGACGATTGATGTATTTTGAGCAAAATGACTTAAAAAAATTTAGGCACTATGTTTACGATCCGATGTACACTTATGAATGATGGTAAAAATATTACCTCATCAATCTAATTTTATTTTATTTGTTATGGTAGAAAATATTATGATTGCACATTAATTTATTATATAGATCATTGAATAACAATGCCTTTATTGAGTAAATGAGTTATATTATTTTATTTTCTATTTATTGTGTATAAATAGAAAAATTTTAGTACGATTAATTCAATAATTATAGTTCATTTAATAAGTAATAATCACTTAATAATGGCAATCTGATTTATGTTACAAAAAATATATATTTTTTATCTACACGTATTATAGAAATATGATTTGGTAAATCTCAGCTAATGTATGTGTCGCCAACTAGCTATTCTGCAATATTGATTTATATAAAGTAAGTTTAAGTTACATAATTTCATAACACTCATAAAATTGTCCATTATATTTGTTTTGGTGTTTCTAATAACAAAAAATACTTCTCAATCCTTTCCAACGCTATATTTTAAGTTTTTTTTAATAAAATAAAATAATTATAATCCAATTTAAATTATATTCCTAAATGTTATTTGAAATAAACATATTGACAATGTCAATGAGTGTTTTATTTAATAATCTGTGAATATTTAAATCTTTCACCAATATCAATCTCATGTAACATTTTTCCTTATTTAAAAAAAAATGTATTTCAAATGAAACATTTTAACTCTGCCACTTCTATAGTAGTAGCACGGAATAAAATATGTAATAAATTATTCTGTGATAGTAGTAGTAGCAACAGGAATGGTATTTGCACTTTCTGTAATCACATATGTGACGCTTGTTTATTTACCACATACAGAATGGAAATTTCTTATTAAAAAAGTTACCTCATAAATGAGTGCAGAATGGCCAAGTAGTTACATTTTAATAGAATAAGCAAAAGGTGAAGTATTATATTATTCTCATGCTAATTTGATCTAATTTAATATACATTATAAACATTTATAGACACTGGTCATTGCTGTCTCTTCCACCAAAAAATCTTTAATACATAGTTTCAAACTCTATCAATTTACTTTTAAACAAATACCTTATATTATTTGTACTATTAAGAATTTAGACCTATAGATTACATTATTACATCAATTCAAAGTCTCTACAGGAAAATACAGCTAACAAAGTACTAAAATACTGTTATTCTATAACCTGTCTATGTCATGGAAAAAATGGCATTCAATAAAATTATGTATTGAAAAATTCAATGGAAAACTTGTTTACTCACCAACATTTTAATACTTGCGTTTGATTATAAATAAGTTAAAATAAAAGGATTAATAATAGTCTAGTGAATTTAATACATTAGTGCTTACTAGTAGTAATGTCATGAAGAAAGTAAAAACAAGGATTAAATGTACTTAAAAATTTAAGATGTTAATTAAAAAAATTAATTTGGTTGAAATCATAAAGCATCATTATAGGAACAAATTAAAGTGTGCAACAGAAAACATTTGCTAAAGCAACAAAAAAAAATGATATCTTTCAGTCAAAAAATTATTTTGTAAAATGAAAAATATTAGAAAAAAAAAAAATATACCAATTTAACAATTTTTTTAAGGAATATTGTGGACTAAGGTGTTTATAATCTATAAAAATAAATTATATGTAAGAAGGTTTTCCATCATTTTATTTCATACAAAATAATGTAAATCACGTCATTAACATAAAATTAAACATCTCCCCTGACGTTTTGGACAACTTTGTGACATTTGGAAAGATGGTCAGCGAACTCGGAATATGGGGTCTTCTTGAGTGGTACGTCCTTCCATAAATCAGGTGTCAAATAAGCGTATGTCTTAGCAATAGCAGCATAAGTAGCCTTGGCTATGATAATAAAACAAATAATTAATACTAACTAACTAAAAACATGATATTTTATCTTTATGACTAACCGAAATTGCCGAGAGTACCAGTGGAACCACGGGCAGATGTGTAACAATCTTCAATTCCTGCCATTGTCAACAATTTTTTTGGGACAGGTGCACTGACGATTCCAGTTCCTCTTGGAGCTGGGATCAAACGTACAGCGACTGATCCACACTTTCCAGTAACCTAAATAAAAAACATAACAAAGTTAATAAATTTATGAAATAAAAAAATAAATAAATCTAAGCAAATCATACTTTGCAGGGTACTGTATGTGGTTTTCCAATTTTGTTTCCCCAGTAGCCTCGTCGGACAGGAACTACAGACAATTTGGCTAAAATTATAGCACCTCGAATGGCCGTTGCTACTTCTTTAGAGCACTTGACACCCAATCCAATGTGTCCGTTGGAGTCACCAATAGCTGTAATATATTTATATTATGAGTATTAATGATATAAGTTTTGATCGTGTTTATGAGATAACAAGAAATTATTTGATTATTAATTAACCAATTGTTGCTTTAGTTAAATATAGTTTAATGATTAATTGTTGGTTAGTAAAATAAATGTATTAAGCAGAGAAAATATTTGAAGAATACATTTAGTTAATATAAGTTTTATAATATAATTTTAAGTATCTTTAATTGGTAAAATTTGTTAAAGTGAAATTAACTCAACAAAAAGTTACCCTAATAATATCCTATTCTATACATGAGTTATAAAAACATTTTCATCATTATTATAAAGCATACATACCGACAAAAGCCTTGAATCTAGTACGTTGACCAGCACGTGTTTGTTTCTGGACAGGCATGATTTTCAATACTTCATCGTTGAGTGAAGAACCAATGAAGAAATCGATGATTTCAAATTCCTAAAAAACACATACAATTAATAAACATCACATCAAACACAACAAGTGCTATATGATGAGCAGCATTCTAAAAATAATGCCAGACCCTTAAGGGAGTGGAGGCAAAAGATGACGACTGAGCTCACCTTGATCGGCAACGAAAACAAATAGATCTCTTCCAACGAAGATATTTTGCCATCCTTTACTAAACGGCCGAGTTTGGTGACTGGCACCCATTCCTTTTCGGCTTCCTTGCCTCTACCACGACCACGACCGCGTCCGCGTCCTCTACCACGGGAACCTCCCCTGCCAAATCCACCGCGGAAATTACCGCGAGTCTCTGCCATATTTAGCTGCGAACATATACCAATGTGGTCGTAAGATTAATCACGAATATTTATATTCATTAAACGTCACATCACACGCCGTCACGAAGCACACATGCTCGTCGGGGTGAAAATATTTGCGTAAGATCGGATCGCACGCTAAATAACTTGCAATTCGATTGCTGGTTAATAGTGTTGACACAACAACTTACCTCTGGTGAAACGCCGTCAGAAAAATCAAAAAAGTAAGTAAACGGGAACGAAACGGGGAAACGTGTCGAACTTGAAGTGTGAATCCCGTTTTCAGATAAAAGACGGAAAACCTGAAGAGACGGTACGAACGTACGACAGATTGTTGGTTATGTTGTCGTGCACAGTGTGCATCTGCCAATTATCGGTACGTAAAAATCTGTATAGTCGTATTGCCTACACTGATTTTCCCCCTCTTATCAAAACACGAATTGCCCGCTACATTCAAAATTACATATTATTTTCTTATTTGGCATTATTGCAAAAATCATAATTTGTATTCATTTTACATCGTTTCACAAGTACTGACCAAAAAGTATGCATATTGAATGAACATCAAACGTAATCTGCGCCCGAGTGCTGGTAAAATAAACTCTCCAAGATTACAATCAATAAATGGAACATTAAACTTTGCGTTAACTGTGGTGTATTCTTGAAATCTTGAACAAATTCCAACGGAAAAAAAAAATAAAAAATATATACACCCTAGAAAAATAGTTACAAAAATGAAGGTCCACGTGAGTGTCACGCATTTATATTACACACCTAATAATTTATGAAAAGCATAATTTATTTAATTTATATTGTCGGAAGCCTATAATTATTCTGTTTTTAAACCATCACATAAATTTAAATTGAACAAAAAAAAAAGAAATAAAATAAGAATGCAAAAGAAATGTAAAGCTCATATAACTTAAAATTTGAAGCTAATATGAAAGAAGAAGTGAACAATTATTATTATGATATTATGTTATTATTTAAATGAAAAATCAATCTTTTTCACTTAACCTAATAATAATTAAACTCTTTACTCTAGTTTATCTAATCCAATTTAATATAACATGTAATATTTAATTGAGCTCCGTCCGAAACGTTTTGAAATACCTACATATAAATGATATTATTAAATATCTTGAGGATTCTGTCATTCGATAGCATTTCTTAGTTCCTTCTCATAATATGTCTCCATTATGTTAACATTCCCCATTTTCATATTTGCTTATTGTAGTATTGTATAATGTATACGTTAAGTTACAGATTGTATATTTCTCGCGATTTCTCCAAAGTATATCAATTATTATCAATTTTTATATCATCTGTTAACTTGTCAATATTAAATAATAAATACTATAGCGTTGACTGAGATTAAGTAAATTTACATTTACCCTAATTGAAACTCAGTTGAATAAAAACTACTCAAATTTCACATATTTTAAACAGTATCATTTGAGCGATTTAGACCAAATACTAAATACTAATTTTAATGACTGTTACAGAATATGTATGCAAAGCTTAAAAAAGATCCGACCAAGAAATTTTTTTTAATTTTTACTCCCTTTTAACCCCCTTAGGAGATATATTTTGGAAAATCCTTTCTTAATAGCTTTCAACATCATAAAATGAGTTTACTGAACAAATTGCATTTTCATAGGTGTTATTGTGTTATAGCTTCAGTGGTTCTGACAAGACGATGAAAAATCCAGTCAGTAACATAGATTAGTATACATAAAAGATAAAGTAAGAACATTAATTTATATGTTTAGATAATACTTAATTATTATACATTTAAGTTGAATAGAATAAAGAGATTCTATTAAATAATTATGTACATTTGTTTTTTTTTTATTGTACTTTGTGATGACACTGAATGCATTTTAGCTTGATTATTGGTGCACTAGGTTGAGGGCTCCCATAAGTCCACAACCCACGAGCGTCATGAATGTATTTTCTTATCACTTATCCAGTATCGAAACACCATTCGGATTTTAATTTTTAACTATAATATTGTCTGTTATTATCATTATCTAATGTTTATATTTATGCAATTAAATAAATATTAAAAAAATAAATTAGTAGTTAATATTTATATAAAATATTTATATTTTATGTTATTGTTTAATCAAATTAATAATTAAAAAAATATTTAATTTAACTTATATGATATATAATAACACTGTACCTAATACACTTATAGTTTAATCTTTAAATTTTAAATCTGAGAAAGAGTCAATTGTAAATATTGTTTGATATACCTATTTTTAGTTTTATGTTAACTTTTACTCCTTATTTCTACAAAAATAATGTCTGATAATTTTAATGTACAAGACATAATAGAATGTTCTGATGATGAAAATTATGGTTTTAAACAAAATCAGGTAATTATAAAACAATTTATAATTCTTTTTTAAAAGAAATTGAAATAAAGTTGATTAGGAAATTTATGTTTGTTTTAATTTCTATGGAAACCATAATAAATAATAAACATTTTATTGATTTCAATTTATTTTTAAATGGAGTTAAACAAATATCAATACCTACAAACAAAATAAATAAACAAGAAATTAAAAAAAAAATTCTTAGTTATTTGTTTCTGCATTTTATTTTGTTATTTAAAATAAAACCATTAAATTTAGTAATTCTATTTTAATTCTGTGAATAAAATAAATAATTGAATACAATTATTTTTTTATTATAAACAAAAACATCAACAACTGTACCTATGGCAACAAATGTTATAAAAGCCAGATATACTTGTAATTTTTAAATTTATACTATTTAATATTTATTTAAAATTATAAACTATTTTATTTAACTGATAACATTAATAACATATTGGGAATTGTTAAATCTATTAATTAATTCTTAAATTATTATTTAAATATATTGTTTATTTCTAGATGAATGAATGTTATCCTGAACCATCTGAAATTTATTCATTGTATAAAACATTAGAGTCATCTAATGTTGCATCTTTAAAACTAGAATGGACTTGTCCTGGACGAAGGGAATTAACACCTGATGATAGTCAAGTATCTCAGAGTACCACTAATGAACTTTGTGACATTGCAGAGTATGATAGACTAGTTAAATATTTCAACTCATTTGTTTATAATATTGAAAAATACAATTTATTATAGATCATTGGATCAATCTGATTTTGATTTTCAAGAAGACATATCACATATGAACTTAAATCGTATGGATGGCAAAAAAGAATTAAAAGGAAGTGCTAAGAAGAAGACTACTAGTTTAGATGCTGTTTTATCAAATATGGCTAGACATCAAAAATTAGATAATATGCTTGATGAAAAATTTGATTCATTATAAAATATAATTTTTCGAGGTAAAGTTAAATTTAAATCTACTAAGTGTAAACTGTATTATTGTTTTTGTGTTTAAAATAGGTTAGTACAAATTTTAATTTGTAAATTACTATACAAATGTATAATGCGTCTTTTTCCAAATTATAAAAAAAATAAAAACAACAATTTTGAATGGTTTAAAATATTTAAAAATATAACATTTAAAATAATATTTTGAATTATATAATTATATCAAATAGTTACGTAAAATATAAAATAAAAATATGGTAATTTTTAATTTAATAATTATAGTATTTCAGAACAATTTAGTGTTGAATTTTGAATTACATGCAAACATTATTTTTCAAAACACCAAAATTGTTAATTTAAAAAAATTTTGATTATTGTTTAATTTATATGTATCTATATTTCTTCATAATATTTAAAGTCAGAAGTTATTTAAATTTGTTACATATCCAATTTAAAAAACCCAAAATATTTATCTAAAATTTTGTACTCTGGAAAGTAATTTATATTTTATAATAAATGGAAAATATTTTTTTAAGTAAAAAGAAAATTATGATATTTTATTAATAGGCGCATAATTATATTTCATTGTATTTTCATAGTTTAAAAAGAATAAATATTAAAATAACAATTTTTCAAGTTATACTATATCTATATTCTATAAGCTATATTCTACATTATAAATAAAATTATAAAATTATGTTTTAAATTTTAGAAGCTGATATATAAACTAGAGATATGGATGTCCAAAGATATTTTAAACCAAACGATAAAAATACAAAAAAAAGCCGCCTGGGTTGTTCTGTATGTAAAAAAAAAATCAATAATGATATTTCTGTTAAAAACGTATCATCAAAACCTTGGATTAGTAAAAAAAAATTAGAAAATAATGATTTTAACAAAGAATGTGTTAATTGTGAATATAGTAAATTAACACCAACCATAATATCAAATAGTAAAATTAATGAATGTTACTGTAATAATATGGAACAGACAAAAAATGAATTCTTTCCAAAAATAATATGTTCAAAGCGTTTTAAGACTCCAGATCTGACTGATGTTAATGAAAAGTGGTTGAATGAAATTATTGAATTTAGACGTCAAAATTGGTTTGATTGTCACGCTGATTCATTAATTGATGGTATTTGTGTTCAAAATATTCCTCTAAGTAAGTAAATTATCATATTTAAAAAAATTATACTGTTGTTTATTTTACTTCACTTTATAATACTGTAGTACACAGTTACACAAAATGTTTCTATGTTGCTCAAGTTGTTGGCTATAAAGTATAATATGTTATATATATATATATCAGTATATTACTATTATTACCTACCTTATAATTACTAATTATACTCATAAAAAGTATATTTAGTGGCTAATTTATAAAAAATATTTGTTTTTATATATATGTATTAAATTATGATTGCAGATATTTTTAACAAATATGAACTAAATTGTAATCATCAAAATAATTTATTATCAATGACTTCTACTGATGGTAATAAATCAAAAACTGAAAATCCATTTATATACCCGGAAAATATTACTACAGCTACAAAACATCTAAATTTACATAAAAAAACTAATGTTTCTAAATTTACTGGTAATAAATTAAAATTAAATAAATATTAATTTAAATTTAATCATTTCAACCACATAAATTGTTCCTATTTAACAAATGGATAACATGAAAATTTAGTATTCAGTAGTTCTAATTTTCTGTTCTTATTAAAATGAATTAACCAATTATTAAATTTATTTGTGAGGATATTATCTATGTTCTTGTTGGTTTTTTTATAATATTTAATATTTTAATTTTTAAGCAAGATAATAGTTTTTAAGCAAGATAATAGTTTTTTAAATTATAGTATTTTATACACTCATAACTTGTATAAAAATTGAAATATATAAAAATCAATGAGATAATATAGATTAACTCAATTTAATATTTAAGCTAACAACGCAAAATCGGAACTGCTTAGTATATAATATAATATTTATGTTTTGGGTTAGCAAGATAAAAACTCACTATTTCAAAATCTATTAAGAATTTTTTTACATAATTTACTATCTAAATAAAACATCATTAAAAAAAAAAAAAAAAATAATGTTTATCATTAAAAAATTTTAAGTTTTACCTTTTTTGAATAACTACATACATTTTTAATTTTATATTCTGAAGCAGAATATTTCAGTTCACAAGAATTGAAATATTGATCTACTACCATGCTCACATATACTTAGAAAAAGTACCTACTTTAAAACTAGTAGTGCAACAAGAATATTAGATGGTACTTACACTAGGGCACCAGAGTATCTGACATTTTATGATGCACTATTTAGTTTGTTTGTGTTATTAGTATTTATTTTGTTATAACATATATTCCCTACATAAAATATTGATCTAAAGTTACTATTAAACATTTTGAGGATATTTATGCTGATAGGAGACTAAATGTTATAGAAGATAACTTGAAAGTTCTAGTTTTTTTAACAGTAGTTGATATTGTTATTTTTCAATTTTCTAATGAATTTAATGTCTTATTAAAAATGACTCGAGAAATTCAATGATTTAAGATCGACTATCAAACATTGCCCTTTTGAACATTGAAACAAATAAAAATTAAAAATTAAATATAAATAAAATAGTAAAAAATTTTACCAACTTAAATGTTAGAAAAGTTAAGTTTGTTAACATATATAAAATTTTTTGATATGAATTAAAGAACCTACTTGTCCTACTTCTAATATAATTTTTATTGCTTAATAATATTTAATTAATTTTAATAAATTGACAGACAGTAGTTATGACTTGTAAGTTATATTTAAAATACTCTATTTATGTAATTTATTGGCTCTTACTTATATTTATAACACATTACTTAAATATTGGAGTATTTTAATATATATATATATATATGTATAAATAAAATATTTATGTTTAATAATATTAAACATTTTAGGTAAAAAAAAAAAATCAAAATGCAGTTTATAAACCTTGGATACCACCATCATCATCATCAGTTCATTATAAATTTTAATTTTTTGATTAAATTTAAATGAGTAATATAGTGCACTAATAATATTTAAAATTTTTTTTGTAGAATTAAAAACTAATTATTATTGTAAAAACTACTCACAAATTTATATACAACAGATTAAACACCGTAGTAAATGATACATTTCTTATTTTTGTATTTATATAAAAAAAAGATGATGTTGCAAACAAATTTTATTAAACAACAATAATAGGTTTGGTTTTTTTATAAATATATAATTATTACTATATTATAAATAAGTATTAGGTACCTAATTGTATAAATAAATTATTTTAGTTATATTATTATTTTATATATAATAAATTGTATAATATGTAATAAAATGTAATAATAATTTATTTCCAATATTTTTATTTTTTAATATTGTATTAAAATACTTTTAATTATGAATAATTGTGTCTTAACTCTTAACGCCATGTTTATTAGTAATCACTAATGATTTAACGATTTATACAAGTTAAAAGTTCTAATGTTTTTTAGGTTCTATACCTAAAATTTCAACGTTCACAAAAATACCTTTAATCTCTAGTTAGTATGAATTTAAAATTTGAAAAAAAATGATTGGAAGATATTAACATTTAAAATTGTTGGTTTAATATAATAAAAAGTTACACTTTTCCAGGCGCCATGGATGGAAACCGTATACCATAAATCCACGACTATTTAATGTCAATTGATTCTGGAATAAGTCCTAATCGTTAGTTTGTAAGCATACACTGAAACAGTACTTAATTTTTCAAACACTATGTCCGATAAAAATGATTGTTATTTGAATATTATGAATTTATGGTATTACTTTGAAGCACCCATTGCTCGAATGAATTTAGGGTACAGCAATAATTTATTTTTAACAATACATTCAAATTCAAAGTAAACAGAAACAATAATCATCAAGACAATGTATGCTCAGGAAAAAAAATAGATACATAAATAATTAATAAATACATATTTTTAGTGTTCTGGAGTAAAAAATATTTGTTTTATGAGTAATGTTAACTGTTAACGTTTGGAGAACAGTCGAACAGTAGTCAGCAGTTAGCACTTTAGCAGTCAGCCGTTCTCGGTTTTAACTTAATATCCCAAATTCCCGCGTGTAGTCTCAATAAATTTCTATTTTTATATACAAATAAAAATAGTTAACCGCGTGTCAAGTCGTAAACAGGTAATCACCAATAAGACAAAATTCAGGGAACTTATTTTTTCGTTTAACGAGTTATCGTGGGTTTACACGAAGACAAATAATAACTAGACGATAACTTAATCGAGTCTTTTGCCTCGTAATAAAAGTTAAAACTCGTTTTAAACACACACACACACAAAAAAAAAAAAAAAAAAAACCGATCGTAAAAACGTTACGCTGGCCGTGACAACGACGTAGTACGTACCATTGTACCAAGTACTAACGCGTTCAACGCTTCGGTGATGACAAAATAAATTTATCGTCATCACGCTGACGTCCGCTAACCGGACATAAATTTAAATCTCGTTCGTAAACGCGACGAGTACCGAGTGCTGAGCAATGAGCGAACAGACGACGCGAAGTCGTCTTCCCCGGTACCATAACCGATAACCGAATCGAGTGTCCGCCGTCCCAGCGAGTCGTCGTTTATCGGCTTTCACTGCGACGGCGGACACTCGACACGCGGTCCGCGATTTGGACCCGGTCACCGGTCACTCAGCGCGTCACACGGTCGTCGACGTTGCGACTCGAGAAGCAACCCGAAACCTTGGAAGTCTCGGTCTATTGTCTAAATACTCCAAATGTCTAATCTCTATCGGTCGGTCGGCACTTGCCGCTTGGCGCTTTGGCGGTGGACGGGTCTCGGGCAAAATGTGGGCAGACGGGACAACGAAGACGGTCACGGTATCGGTGTCCCGTTTTTCCGTCCGCATTTTATTATTATTTATTTATTTATTTATTTATTATGTATTATTATAATTTAATATAATGCGTGTAGTCTTGGTGGCTGGCTGCTAGCCGTGCCGTTGGCACCACTGCGCTCGCGCAGCTCTATCGATCCGTTTCCCGCCCCCGCCACCCCTGCCCGAACGAACCGTCACTCCCCGTCGTCAACACCCGGTTCCGTGTAGCCACTAGCCAAGCTCACTACTTTTGAGCGTTGAGCGTAGTTGTAATCTATCGGCCGTTTTCCCTTGTGCGTTTCTTGTAATTTTTTTCTCCACATATTCAATACGCGATTCCCCCCCTCATGCACTTCCTACCGTCGTAATCCGTTCTGTCTGCCGTCGCCGCGCGAATCACCAACCATTGCCCCGCGAAAACAAAACCGTTTCGTCGCGCGCACGACATCCAACGCCGTCACCCTCATCATCCCCGATAAAGGTCCGTTGTCGTCGTCGGCGCCGGTGAAACAGGACCAGGGTAAAAGCAATAGCAGCAGTAGAAGTAACAGTAGCAGCGGCAGTACCAGCGGTCGTAACACAAACTATACCAACAATAAAAACAACAACAACAACAATAACGACAATAACAACTACGGCACCACCAGTAATCGTCGCCGCCGCCGTCTCCTCCTCCATACGCCATATACGATTAACGCCGTGCCGACTTCAGCAACGGCAGCAGCAACAGCAATAACAACGACAGTAGCACCCTCGACGGACGCCGAAATGGAACCCCAAGACACGAGCATGACGAACCTGATAATCAACTACCTACCGCAGTCGATGACCGATAAAAAACTACACCAAATGTTCACGCAGATTGGACAAAT